ACTCTTTCCTGGAAGCTTTGAACAAGTGTGACTGCACCTAGAAAAATGGAGACTTCGTCTGTCGTGGGTGAAGATGAGAACTCCATTGAAGGGAGGGATGTGATGGGCCCAGTAAAGGCCAGTGGGGCAGACAGCATGCACTCACCCCTGCGACGTCCAGGGAAGCCTACAATGAGCTAACCCAGCAGCGACTGGGAAGGCCAACACAGATTTCTTACAAGGAGAAAAGAATGCCATGAAGACAGGGCCAAAATGGTGTCTATAATCCCCACAATAAGCTGTAAGAGCAGTCTCAAGGGTACATGGGAACTAGAGGGAAGACACTGAGTGTCTACGGCATTAATACCTGCCAGGTGAACTCTGTGGAGCCACAGCAGAAAGACAAGTTAGAATTTAAAGCGACACTTGGGTGAGGGAGTGAGAGGAGCACAGAATCTAAACTGTGGCCAAAACGTCACATTTCCTTAAAAAAAAAAAAAAGTCAAAAGCGTAAGGACATACTAATACTTGCTCTTTTTCAGGATATAGGTAAAGCTGTTAGGTTCTTTTTTAGAAGAGCCCCACCAGGGAACCAGCAGTTAGTGTAATGGCTATGTCGCTGGACTCCCACGTAGTTGACCGCGGTACGCATCCCGGACCCAATGCCTTAAAACTCACGCCGGGCGCGTGTGTGCCCAAAATCCTGAGAGGAGAATAGAGGAGACGAGATTGCAGCATAACCATCCCCCCTGGGGGGTGATTTCTCGCTTTCTGTCTCTATGTCTCTGTCTGTCTGGCGAGCGCACGCGCTCTATAGTGAAAATCTCTCCAAGAAAAAAGAGAAGAGCCCCACCACAGTAGAGTGCCCCATTAAGAAAACAGGAGATAGTAAAAAAAACAAAACAAAACAAAACAAAAAAAACAGGAGATAGTTAGATTTACACACTTTAATTTTTTTCATTTCAAAGACCTGAGCTTTTTCTTTTAAAATTATCAGCTACAAAAAGACTTTTGCTCCTTAAATTTGCCAGAGGGTGCATGTCCTCCCCAGAGACAGAGAGGGGGAGAGGAAGAAGCACCAGATTCTACACCAAGATGGGAAAAGAGCTGACAAAGGTGGGGGCACTGCCCTATGGAAGCTCTGGGAGGAAGCCTGGACCTACAAAGGAGCAAGTAAGAGCTGGCCTCACAGGTCGGTCTTTCCACTCCTTCCCGGGACCTCCGAGGTAAGCCACAGCACTCAGAACTGGGCGTTTGCCATGCGCTTTACATATATTATCCAGTTACTGCAACCACCACTGCAGGTGCATGGGAAGGTGTTTCTAAAACAGTTTCACAAATAAGAAAAGGTAGACTTAAGGCTGGGTCAAGGTTATGACAGTAAATCCTACCCGGAGTTACCATTTTTCAGACTGTGGGGGACTGTTCACCTCCGGCCTTGAAAAACTTGGCAAGACTCTGGTGTCTTTTCACTTACCGTGTAAGCTCCTGCACTTCAGAAATCAAGTCCAAGTAGATCGACAACTCCAGGTGCTGCAAATTCCCGGCGGGGCCATCTGTCTCCCTCCCGGAACCAACCAGCCTAGCTCCTCTCAGTCCTGCTCCCTACACAGTCCCGGCCCTCCACCGCCTCGGTCCGCCTGGGACGCCCCTCTTCTCCGCCCTGTTCCTGGCTCCCATTTTCCAAACACGCTCTAACAAGCCGCCACGCCCCAGCGCCCAAAGGGCACCCCTACCCGCCTCTACTCGGGATCCCGCTTCCCTAGCAGCCTTCCCATCTGTCAAATCGGGAAGGGAAGTGGGGAAGACTGAGGGCGGAAATGGCCTAACAGGCTGCGGAGCCGCTGCCACAGGCGCGCAGGTAAGGCGGGGGCGGGGCCCGGGCACGGCCTCCCGCTGCAGGGCAGAGCTCTGCCGCGAGCCTCGCACAACCACAGCCCAGAGCCGGGCTGCAGCCGTACACGTGGACAGAGGACAGAGGACAAACGCGCGTGGGATCCCCGGCAGGGACGAGGGCGCCGGGACGCACGTGGGCGGAGCCTGGGCGGGGCCCTCCGTGCGGGCCCCTGAGCCCCGGACGACGGGCGGAGGCACAACCTACCTCCAGCAACGTCCCAGCGCGGTGAGGGCCGCCCGGCCGCGGCTCAGCGGAGGGGTCGGCCCGAAAGGGCACGGGCTGGGCCTGGCGAGGCTCCCCGCGCCTCCGCCGCTCGCCGAACGACCGCTTTTCTCTCCTCCTCTCTTGCCCTCGGGAGGCGGGTCGGGGAGTCCGGAGCTCAGTGGACGCTTCAGCGGTTAAGCCGGTTTCCGCGCGCGCCCTACCAGTCTCCGCACAGACGCTTCCGCCCCGGCCCCGCCTCTCTCCCGCCCACCTTTGACAGGCAGTCAGGACAGCCAGTGGGACGGCGGCAGAAAGGCTAGCCCCACCCAGGTGTGGCTCTAGGGGGCGGGGTCTTCCGGCGGACACACCTTCCCAGAAGAGACCTTCCAAGCCACGCTCGAGTTTTCATTGGTCTAGCTGGGTTACAGCTTCCGGCCCAGGTGGTTAAACGGACCTCGGATTGGTTTAAACCTCCCAGATCCCGCCTTCCGATCTGGGGGTGGGTCTGCCTTTCTCCGCTGCCCGGCGGCCCTAGTCAGGAGACAGCCAGGGGGGCGTGCCGGCCCTAGTCCGCCTGTTTTGGTGCGGTTCCAGTGCAAAGGCTTGTGACACTTCACGGTTTGATGTGGTCACGGGAGACAGCAGCAGGCTGACTCGACCGAGGCTTTTCAGCAGGCACGGCCCGCGGGGCTACAGGGATGTGTCAGGTGTGTGATAGGGAACAGGAGAGGGGACAGGCCAGGTGTGTGGGCTGATCACTCCCAGGACACCTAGGGGGCCAGGTTTGCACGTGGGATACTTAACCTCAAAGAGTTGAGGTGCGAATGGGGACGTGGGGAAGGCTGGGTGGTGGCAGAAGCGCGCAGAAGGAGCAGTCACCTTACTGTCGCCTGTGAACTGAGGGCTCCGAGGCAACCCACTTGGCCCCAGGCTTGGTATTGTAATCCCTTTTGCCAGCATCAAAGCTAGCTGCATTTCTGTGTTCGGGGAACCAGGGCTGAATGGATTCTAAGAACAACCTGAGCGTGGGTACTCAGTAAAGCGTCAAAACTTGATTTCTTTGCACACAAAATTCTCAACTCCACCCACGGGTGTGAGAGGCTGAATGATTCTTTGCAAAGCCCAGGAGAGCCCTCTGGGCATGACGAGGTTAAGTGAAGTAGCTGAACCTGTGCTTTGCTGGCATCCTTTTGGCCCCCTTTGCTCACATTTCTGAGAGAACTCCTGCTGTTAGATTTCAGGACCAGCCTGGAAAGTGGGCACGTGACCTGATATAGGCCACCTGCCACTTCAGTCATGTAGGTGACAAGTTTGGATTATGAAACGTAGTTGGAGGCCTGGTGGGAGAGTGAATGAGCCTCTTTGGAGCAGTCATCTCACTAAAATGGCTGTGTAAGCCCTGGGGCAGTGATATGACCATGCACTGTACATAAACCCGAATCCCAGCCTCGGGGAATAGAAAGGCACTGAAAACTGACTTACCAACTTTCTGTTTCCCATGTAAGCCCTTCCGTTCTGGCGATTCTCTGGGGGAAGTGCCATTGTTCCTGATGTCATACATGACGAGGCTGAGAGACAGAATTTAAACAACCAGTCTGGAGTCACAGAATCGACGCAGACCTAGAAAAGCTGTTAGGAGAATGTTTATCCAGCTCCAAGGCCTTACAAAAACTCAAGACTAGCTGTGAGAGTCAACAGAGCCAGCAGCAGGAGGGCGAATTGTGCCTAAAATTGTGCCTGACCCACAGCAAGGGCCAATAAATACTTTTTTCCTCTTAGTTTTTCATAGGGTGTGTGCACTGCCTGAGAGAGACAAAGGGAGAGAGGGAAAACATCCCCAGTGGGGAAGGGTCAGGCTGCAGTCCCTTCTTCCTGTCTTCATCCTGGTGACAGTCAGGGAATGCATACACATGTGTCTGGTGTGTTTCCTCAGACCACTGGGTCCGGGACTCGAACTGCATGGTTGGTTATGTGGGGTCTATCTGCTTTAACTACCAGGCCATGGAGCTGGCCAGTACTGTGAATGGATAGGCCTGGGTTCAGGCCCTCCCCATGTCACTCCCACTTATCTTGGAAACAACCCTGGTTTTGATTATCCCTGTGGTCATTCCTTGACTTTGGGAGGTTTGACTTACTCCTGGCTATAACGGGCAGACCACCGGTGGTGTCTGAGCATGATTGACGATGGTGGGAGGCCTAGTGGTGATGCTGAGCTAGTCAAGGTGTTTGCTAGGGGATTCTGGGAAAGGAGGCTTTTCCCTCTCTGCTGTGGCCATCTTGCCACCCTGAGGGAGATCCCTTTGAAGATGAAGCGGAGAGCAGAGATTGGAGGAAATCAGGCCCTGTGATGACTGTGTTGGGAGCTGAATCAGGTATTTTAGTCTGTTACTGTATTGCTAAGCAAATACCTGAGGCTGGGCAATTTAATAAGAATAAGGCTTATTTGGTTCGTGACTGTGAGGCTGGCATCTGGCCAGCCTCTGTTGCATCACCGCATAGCAGAGACACAGAAGTGTCCGCAGGCACGTGCAGAGCTGGAGAGCTTCCTGTGGGCAGCCCTCTTACTGCTATGACAACCTGCTCTCAGAGAGCTAACCCAAGAGAGCGAAATCTGTTCACTCTCATGAGCATCACCCTCGTGATCCAGACCCTCCCCACAAGGACTCACTCCCAATGGGCCCACCACCTCCCAATACCATTACAGGGGGGACCATGCTTCCAATGTATGAACCTTTGGGAGACAACCCATAGCCATAGCATCAACCTTCAAGTTTGGACTTCCTAGTTTCAAGAGCCAATAAATTCCATTGATGCTATTTATAGTTAAGTATTGTCCATGAAAAAATAACCAACTGTAATAACTAATAATGTAGTTTATTTCCAAGCTGAATATGAGTGACCTAGGCCCAGAGAGGAGGCATACATGCTTTTCTTGGGGTAATTACGGACAAGAGTTCCTTTTATTTGACTTTGAGATTTATAGACAAAATTAGTGAAGAGATTTCCATTGGTCTGGCCCAAAGAGGTGGAACATGTGGAACGGGGGTGGCTTATAGGTTATAGATGGGTTCCACAATTTCTAGGCTGGTGATTGGTGGGAAGATCTGTGTCCTAGGAAGAGATTTGTAAAGAAATGCTTAATCCACATCTCAAGGAAAGCAAAGTTCCATGCCTTGGGAAGAGATTAGCAAAAGAATATACTGTAATCAGCTGAATATAGGTTTTTTTTTTTTGGAGAGGTTTTCGCTACAGGGCGCATGTGCTCGCCAGACAGACAGAGAGAGACATAGAGACAGAAAGTGAGAAATCACCCCCCAGAGGGGATGGTCACACTGCAATCCCTTCTCCTCCATTCTCCTCTCAGGATCTTGGGCACGCACGCACACGCGCCTGGCGTTGAGTTTTAAGCCACTGGGTCTGGGACATGAACTGCAGTCGACTACGTGGGAATCCAGCGACATAGCCATTACGTTAACTGCTGGTTCCCTATACATCTCAAAGATACTATGCCAGGGACAGGGTGCAGGAAGAATCCTGATAAATGGAAAAAAATGGTCTATTAATGTTTGTGGAATAAATGGAAAAAAAATGGTCTATTAATGTTTGTGGGCGTGACTCCCCTGGGCCCTCTGGAAAGGACTTTGGAAAAATAGGAAAAAGCAGTCAGACTTCTGTCCACAGTATAAACATGAAGTTGTTTGCAATTTAACTACTGTGGCTTGTGGCAATACCACGATGACTGTGGTAAGTGAGTTAACTCTTCTGGAGCTCAGCTGCCACCTCTGTACAGTGGGGACTGTGGAGAGCAGCCAGTCTGAAAACATGTGATGCAAACGTGGCCTGTAGACATGTGCAGAAACGCGCTTCCCTAAGCTACTCTAGCAGGGTTATTGAGGAGCATCTACCTACGAAAGCAGTATCTGCCTGCTGTCAATGGTTATCTTCCTGTTGTTGACACCCAATACCCAGATTCTGCCCAGTATCAGGCTAAAGGAAGTAACATACACTTATCAGATTATCCTCCCAAAAAGATCAAAGAAATTATTGGCACCAGTCATTTTCACATCTTCAGATGATTTACGTCCAAGAACAACTGGCTTTGCATTCCGATTCCTTCTCCCCTATTCTCTTTGCATTCCACTGTTAGGCCGAATTAGCATAATCACCGCCATGTTAGGGAATGCTGGGGAAGTTAGCTTAATCACTACCCTGTTGAGTCTTCAGGAACAGAACCCACTTTGTTAGGGCCTCAAGGACGGGAACCAGGAGTCTGGGAACTCTCAGATAAGTGGGAAACGGGAGGGCCCAGCACCTCCGAGGCAAGGTCATCCAAATCCGTAGCTGAGAGCCCTTATCTAGACCTAAGCAGGTGGTGAGAGCTGGACCCTCGCGTCTCATACCCCCCCTTCCTTTGTGTGTTACAGTCTAGAGAACATCCTGAACTATAAAAGATCCCTTTACCTTAGGCTCGGGGTCCTTGTGAAGGCCCGCTGCAA